TAGACACATATGCACACATATCTGAGCATGTGTGCGATTTGTTTTTGGAGAAAGTCACATATCTACTCACTTTAAAAATATGTAAGACAAGGGGCAACTTCATTAGAGCAGCAGGTCAGGTTTACAAGTTAAACACTGTTAAAATACTTGTCTCTCCCCTTCTCATGTCTGGTTTCCAGGTTCCCTGCTCATGGGAGAGCTATGATAGAATGCAGTACGAGTCTGGAGCAAAAGCCCGACATGTTAAGGTAAATTGGGGGACCCGATTTCACAAAAAATATATATCCTGCTTCTAAGTCACAGAAGCACTGAAACAGCACCAGTGAATGGTGCGCTGCATTATGGTCTGGCATTAGTGTCAGAAGCCATGTGTTTTTTCTTAAAAACTGTATTTAAATGTAGAATAAATTTTTCTGATGTATCGAAAATTACAGGACACACTTTTGCTGAAGTTTATATCAACTGTAGTAGTAGCTGGAATCTCAACACCTCATCGATAGATATGCTTTTTAAAAACTTACGTGTGTGAAAAATGATTGTGCTTAGGAAAAATAACTAGACAAAAAGAAACCATGATGCAATTGAATAGAAGCATTAAATTCTGCTCATCATTTGCAGTTGATTTAAAATTTAAAAGTCTATACTAGCTGTGGTGTTTTGTTTGGTTTTGTTTTTAAAAAGATAGCATCTCTAGTTCCTTCCTATACTAACTCAGTTAGCAATCTACCTTGATAACACTGGAGTGGAAAAAAACCCAGTGAAAAACCCTTCCAACATATCATTCAAATCATATCTAAAAAGGTGGTCATAAATATTTTAGAACCCAAGCAAACTAATAAGAGCTAGGCCCATTAAGGATAAGATCTTTTACAACAAATTAAATAAAACAATTTATTGAAGCCTGGACTTGAGATAAACTAGATTTACTAGCTGACCTTTTATTCATTTAAAGAACAAAATTAGCCCTAATTGCATTAGAATGGAATCCAGTAAATTTCTTCTAATGTGGCATCCATGCAAGTATTGCTGTAATTGTTTACAACTAAGATGGAAATGCTTTGATTATAATCTACTTTCTTCTTGTTTTACTGTGCAGTTAAAACACTTGCAGAAAAACCTGAAGTAGAACAGTTTTTCCAATATTGGGTTCTCCATCCTTCAGCAACAGTACCTTTTCATGTCTATTAACCTAATGTTATTAATAGCCGTCTCTTTTGAACTGATGTGTGTTGTAAGAATATTTGCACACCAGACAAGCTCGAATGCAGGGATCACTTTGAATCTAGGAGCAACACGTACTCATATTCACAGAAACAAGAAAGAAGACTTCTCTGCCGCTACCATCGCTGCTTTGTATGTTGCTCCAAGCAGAGGAGCCAAGAAGCAAAATGATAGAGAATAAACTGTTTGCTACACTGCAAAGGCATTTTCCTCAGCACTGCTGCACTATTTGAGCAAACTTGTTACTGTCGTCGTGCTGTGTTTACGGTGTGATGTGAATCTCCATTCCAAGCACCATCAATCTGACACTTTTTCTTCAGACACCTGAAAGACTCTGTGGCCTCACCAAGATCTGTAAGTACTCCATTAAAGACAACGTTTTATATGAAGTTGCCCCAAAACAAACCAACCTCCAGTTGAATAGGTACTTAAGTACCTCCAAAAGCCTCCAAACAGATCTTGTCTCTACCAGAGGAAATTGAAACAACTCGTTAGTCCATCTAGTTTTTACTCATCAGATTCTATGAATCCCCAAAAACTTTTCTCATACCTTTCCATGGCGATTCATGGTATTCTCAAACAATCCCATGCTAGTAAACTCCAGCGACATGCTAACTGAAACATGTTTCCATATGATAATTACCAGATATTCTGAACTTCGTTACCAACACAGATAAAACAAAAGTTTAACTTTCCCTTAACATACCACGTCACAAAAGCTTTTGTTTCTGTCTGTTACGAGCTACTTAAAAGGTTGATGATCCTGCTATGGTTTTTTCAACTAATAACTTTAAATAGAGGTCGTAGAGACTTCTGGCAACTCCAGATGTCCAAGCCACACACAGCTATGTAACGCTTTGCCTCAGAGCCACACCAGTCCCTTTCATAATGATCACAACACATGAAAACGAAAATACGCTGAGTTCAGGCTGAATATTAATTGTTGAGGATGAAAGCAAAAGTATTATTTAGAGTAGGACAGCTCCACTGCAAGCCCTGCCGCATTAGACACCAGATCGACACGCAACACAAAACAGCTCCCAGAGCCACATGGCGCAAACTATATTTACTTGTGTAACGGCAAATTTCTTCCTGGATTTTGCCTTGGAAAACTATGACAAATCCTAAAAGCTATTACAAAGCTCTATAAGTTCTTGTCTGCCATCAGTCAGAAGGTGCAATTGGGTGATACAGCCATTACAACAGGACAACTTTAGAATGCCAGTATGGTGGGCAGTGAGGAGATATTTAAGGTAGAAAAGGGAATCCAGTAAGCAAATAGAGATGGAATACTAATGACTCAAACCTCATTTGGTTACGCAGCCTAAAGCAATCTCAATGATGAGCACCACATGGAGAAGATGAAGTTCCCCTCCTAGGCCCAGTACAGATGCTGCAGAGAGCTGGAGCACAACCATTTTTTAGCATTTGCTACCAGCTGCCTCCAGGACTCCCCTGCCCCTGAAGATCTTGGCCCTGGTGTTTAATTCTCCCCTAATTTGTCTAGAAACTCTGAGCTAAGTCAGTGCCCTGGTTTCGGCTGGGATAGAGTTAATTTTCTTCCTAGTAGTTGGTGTAGTGCTGTGTTTTGGATTTAGTATGAGAAGAATGTTGACAACACACTGATGTTTTAGTTGTTGCTAAGTGGTGTTTATGCTAGTCAAGGGCTTTTCAGCTTCCCATGCTCAGCCAGGTGCACAAGAAGCTGGGAGGGAGCATAGCCAGGACAGCTGACTCCAACTGACCAAAGGGATATTCCATACCATAGGACATCACGGTCAGCATATAAAGCTGGGGGAAGAAGAAGGAAGGGGGGGACGTTTGGTGTGATGGCGTTTGTCTTCCCAAGTCACCGTTACGCGTGATGGAGCCCTGCTTTCCTGGAGATGGCTGAACACCGGCCTGCCGATGGGAAGCAGTGAATGAATTCCTTGTTTTGCTTTGCTTGCGTGCGCAGCTTTTGCTTTACCTATTAAACTGTCTTTATCTCAACCCAGGAGTTTTCTCACTTCTACCCTTCTGATTCTCTCCCCCATCCCCCCGGGGGGTAGTGAGCGAGCGGCTGGGTGGTGCTCAGTTGCCGGCTGGCGTTAAACCACGACAGTCAGCTTTGTGTATCTCCCATCCTGGAGTTGAGGTTTAAACTGCAGGCTCTGCCGTGCTAAGTATCACACCACCTGAGGTCCTCAGATGGTGGTCAAGGTGCCACTAAAGACGCACAAAGGAAACTGGAATAGAAGCGGATTTCCCAAAAGGTCATAAAACAAGATGTCAGTATCTCTGACCCACTACGGGCTGGCAGGGCTGACGATGATGTACCCATATGATTTATAGCAAGCAGATGGAGTCTGAAGTCCCTTCTCAAAAGTCTGTGGGTATAATAAAGGCTGGGGTGAGGTAAGATGAAAAGCAAAGTCAACTCTTCGGTGCTAAAATATGGCTTCAGAACTTTAATTTAGAAGTTCTGCCTTGAAAATATGACTTAATTTTCCCCATATAAACACTTGTACAGTCCTTGAAAAAGGAGTTTAAAAGTATCCATAGCTCCTCAAGAAGGAAAATGGGTTTGTGGGCTTTAAAGGGACAGTCTGTCCAGCCGTGCACATTCAACTCATGCACAGCAGGACAGACAACTGCTCTGAGAAAGCTGGAGCTTTCATACAGCAATCTGAGGCACAGAAATTTTAGATCACACTCAAATATTGTGAAAGGAAGAAAGCAGAAACGGTTGAAGAGCAGGAAAAAGCCCTGATATTTGGGGTGGGGGTGTCCCATAGAAACCAAGAAATGACTGAAGTCCTGAAGCAACTTCAAACCAGTAAAACTCACAGTTACCTACTGAGGAGGAGTAGGACAGCATAAAAAACCAGAATAATCATCAAATCATCAAATGCCACTTAACTTATAAAGCAGAAAAATTAGCGACTAGGAGATTTAGTTCAGAATGGCTATAAAAGAGAAACAACTACATTAGCGATATTTAATGTGATGAATGGAAAAGAAAAATCTGTTTGGTGCTCATGTTTACCATCAGACATGAAAGTGTGCTCTGCGCCATTAAAACCATGAAAAACCTGATTAAAAGAAACCCTTCACGTACAACACAGGACCAGCCTAAAAAGCCCAGTGACGCACGGTTTCCCCAGCCTCTCCAGCCACCTGTTTATGCTGTATGATCTCAGGATAGGGATCATCCTATTTATGCTCATACAGTACAAAGTAACTACTATTTGTACAACAGCATCCAATAATTAGGGAGCTAATGAACCAACATTTGAAATGCGTTAGGTACACTCATGAATAATCATCAACAGTTATAATAAAACAGATGCATATAAAGGAATCTCAACTGTTATGTTTTAAAGCATAAAACAACTGTTAGCTGAAGAGCATTATGAAACTTGGCTATAGGTTACAGTAGGGATAACTGTCCATTACGGAAACCTCACTAAATGTCACTGCAGGCATCATACGAGTCTAGATGGAGTCTTATAATCCATGCCCTAGAAAGGCACAGAGTAGGAAACACAGTAGGATGGACGGAAGACGACGGGTCCCACTTGGAGAGTAGAAGAAAAAAGGCAAAATGTCCAAAAAGTTTCTATTGGTAAGTGTTCTGCTTGATTTTTCATTAGAATGGTCAAAAGATGTCATAGCTGTATGAATATCATTTGCCACTAATCTTTATGTGTTTCCCACTGAAAATAAGAGCTAACACAAGTGACAGAGGATGAACTGTGGTAAGCATACACCTTGCAGATGGATTTATTTGTACTTACATCTTGTCTTGGCCTGCGCCCACTCTTAATGTCAGCCGAGGAATAACCGGTGATGGAGCCGGAACAACTGGTTCCACCTTTATCTGTACAAGGGAACACAATCATCAATCAAAGACTGCAAGCAGACTCCCAAAACATATTAATTACATGAAAGCACTGATGGAGTTAACCAAATAGAGTATATCGGCTTAATGAGACAGACCTATGACGGACTGATCACCGCTCTCTCACGCTTCATGCTGTAGCATGGACAGTCAGAGTTTGTTGGGAGCTCCCAGCCATCGCAAATCACAAACATGAATTCTAGACTAAAAAGTCAACTTGAAATTTCATTGCATTTGTACCTGCTCATACACTTTGTTAACAAGTCTTCCCGATTTATTATTTTTCTAGAGACACAAAAAACCCCAGTGTGTTTCTAAACAATGACATAAAATGCTTTGACCTTAGTACTCAAACTTGACAGGTGCCCACTGGTGTTTGCACTTTTTTCTGAGATTTAAATTCAGTTATTTCCCAGGTTTATCACATAAATGTACTGTGACCCTCTTGAATAAAAATTAGACACACAGGAAGCAAATAAACTCCAAGCACCAATACTCAATACCTTATGAAAGTGCTTATCCACATAGGTATAACAGAACCACTGCTTTTTAATGCAATTAGGCTGAGGGGTTTCTAATGGCTATTTTTCAAATGACCTGGTTTTCAACATCAGTATCTGGTGCAAGTTTAGACCTCTTGAATATGCCGTTAAACTCTTTGAACCAGTATCTGCCAAAATTACCAACTCCCATTGAGCTACTGCTTTGCAAAACCTGTATAGAATCATCTCAGATTTTACAGTTGACATTGTTAATGATTCTCCATACACAAATTGCTCAACTTATATCCATATATATAAGTGTATATATATTTTATATATGTGTGTATATATTGAAAGAGAGGGAGGCTGATCTCATTTTGAGCATCATCATATTTAATAAAATAACCACTTAGCTGAATCTGGTCCAGGAACTTAAAGAGACAAAAATAGTATGCATACACTAAATGGAAACCCAAGCAACTCTCAGTGGGAGAAATCTGTTTTAAAAAGCTTTCATAAAGAAAGGGAGGGCAAACAATTCAAAGCACAGAAAGCAGCGCAGGAGACAGCAGGCCAGAGTGGGAGGACTCAGTTAGGACTTCCATTGAGGAATGGTAATGACAAAGTCCCGTGCCACGCACCTTGCCCAAAGAATCGGAGCTGCTCATCAGGAGAGGTCTACTCCAGAGAGAGAAGGGCTGCAGCCTGAGTAGTCTTTCTGTTTTGACACAGTTAACCATGCTTTTCAATAAAGCTCTCCATGGATATGTATTAGCCTACTTCACAGGTCTCTCTCTACTCTGTTTATATAGCACGATTTTTTTGTTATGTCATTCCCCTGGAGTGTTGCAAGAGGTTTTTTCCTCTGGAGCTCCTAATGCCTGGAACAATTTCACTACCACTTTCCATAGGCAAGTCTCTTAATCTTAACCTGTAGCGTTGTCCACTGGATAGAGACATGGAATTGAACCCTGAGTACAGGAGGCTCAGGCACATGCCTTAGATTATCTTACCTCTTTTCCTGCAGGTTCTTCCTCCTTCTGTAGTGCCTATTTCAAATACAAAACTTCCTAGGACAAGCACTGCTACTTAACTTCCAGCACACAGCACAGAAAGATACTCATGTCATCCGTCTTTTGTATTAAGGCCTTTTGTATTATTATTTGTATACCACCAAGATGTTCTAAAAAACGGTGGTGTGGGCTCATGCGGCCGAAGAAAAGCACACTTCTTTATGCTCAGATACCAACGTCGCAGTCTGCTGTGAGAGGAAAACTGGGCTCCACGACAATCCTAAATCTTATCCTTTGATAAGGATAGGGGAGAGGAAGCATCTTTCTACAACATGGGTTTGTGTGTAAGGTTTGCATAATGGAGCAGAGGGAAAATCAAGGAGCATTCACAGTTATATCCTGGATATCCTAGTTTTCCTCTACATCGATGATAGGATTTTGACTCACGAGTAAGGGCAGTTTACTTTGGGGCAGCTCTGGCAAGCCCTGCCCCGATGCAAGGATGGCTCCATTTCTCACGAAGCAGTTCCTCAACTACTTTAGTTTACATCTCAGCGTATTAAGGTTAGCTGAAACTGGGTCAGCAGCTGCCTCGTGAGCTGCTCAGTCACTCCTACAGCACGCCCGCTAATCTCCATCGTAGAAGTGGGGTGTAACTGCTTCTACTCTTTGCTTTTAATTTGGCAGTGCATGCAAGGCAGCGCCCCAGCTCACTGTCTCCTTTTCTGGCTCCAAGGGCAGCACCCCAACACTTACTGCAGAGCACAGAGCTGCAGGCAAGCCCTACGCAAAAGCTCCTCTTCCTCGGTCCCACCACCGAACACTTCTGGCATGCAGCCTTCAGCTTCTGCTTTCTGCCATTTATGCAGAGTGTCAGTTGCTGTTCTGTTTCTTCCAGCAGCTTGGGGCAAAATTACAGGGAAAACTTGATAAAAAGCTTCAATTCCCCAACAGGATGGGATGCACACTTATGTAATAACTATAACGATACTGAAAAATGGAAACATTACCGTAGAGTCACTCTTTTGTTAAGTACAGCAATATTAGAAATAGAAATCTGGTATTTTCTGCTGGCCATCAAGAGCTGAAACCGCAGTTAGCCCACAAACTCATCTTTCAGGTTGCGCCTACGCCTCCGAAGTGGACGTGCCGAGGAAGGTGAAGTGTCCGAGCAGTAACTTGATCATTTGCTCTTACAGCACAACTGCTGGCTAAATAAGTCATTGTGTGACCTAAAAGCTAAATTAAGGAAACATGTACTTTTAGGGGTTAAAATGAAAGAGCAGCATTCTGGAGTAATACTGGGAATTGGGGCCAGCAGAAGAGCATTTACAGTGGATTACTAAGCTTCCCAAATCACCAAAGAGGTAAAGTCCAGCAATATAAGACTCCTTTGTAGCTAACTAAAAATACATTGTCAGTGGATTTGTCCAGTTTTATGTATAAGCAATACTTCTTTCACCTGAACTAATACTAGTAGTCATATAAGCCCCTTATTGCCATGTGCTGCATTTTTTTTGCTAATCTTCAAGGATTTAGCTTCTTTGCCACATACCTCAGGGCACCAACTGATAAAGCTCTAACTCTCCATTTTTCCAGGACACCAGCAGTGCGGCCTTGCAAAAAATGAAAATCGCTCAAGAGATTTAAAGGGGAAATTTATTTTTAAAATCCTGACTTGCAGCAAAGAGGTGGATTTAAAAAAAGCTTATCTATCAAGGATCAGTTTAAATTTTAATTCTAACGGGGGATTCTTTCATGCATTCTAGCTTTAAAGTTTATCTTTTGACAGGGACTTTTTGCCAAGGTAATGGGCAGCTTTGTCAATTTAATTTGTCCAAGTTTTTATTACCGTTGAACTCCTTTTCCTAATATATATATGTTCAGTCTATACCAAAGCTTTACCAGTTTGTATTTGTTTGTGTGTCTGTTATACTGCTCTAAAGCAAACTAGATATAGAGATTCGCAGGAGAAATGCAAAATCGAATGTATGAAAAACAAGCAACTCGTTGTCTTTATTTTATATACACACATATTTAACTTAAAAAGAAATCTCTGCAGAAATTCTCAGTGGAATACTGACAAAAAATCTCAGGCATGAAGGGCAGACAGACAAAATGGGGAATCCATGAAAGTGTTGCTGCAGTCTAAAACCAGACATTAAATTAACATGGACAACTGGACCACCACCCTGCCGATCACCGACTCATCCACAGCAGGTAAATATTAGTACTCCAGATCACCCGGATTCTGCACTGAAAAACCATTTGTCAACTGAAAAAATATGTCAAGTTTTGAAATCAGCAGTTTGTTTCAAGTCCAGCAGGTAGCACAACAGGGCACAGTGGCAAAAAAGGAAAGCGAGGAAGGTCCCAAATCTGAGCTTGTACGAACTGTGTATTACACTCAAAGCAGGATGTAAAGAGCATCTTGGTAAAACCAGAACTTGCATAGTGCTTCCTAATGCTAAGGAGAGATTTAGGAAATCCTGTATCCAAGGTTATCGCATATGAAGACAATCTCTTTCTTTTCTTCTTTTTTTCTTCTTTTTTTTTACATTAACAATTTCATGCATATTATAAGGTGAAGTGACAAAAAATTAGAGCAAACCCTGAATTAGGGGAGCCATTTCTAAAGGGATTTCAAATCTGATAACATGCAAATACGCTGGTTTCATTTCTTAAATATTAAACATATTCTCAAGATTAGGTGATATTGGAAAGAAGAAATTATCTTCGGCTGATGTAAATCAGTAAGAGTTACAGGAGTGGAAGGAGCTCAACCCACTTGAAAACTAGCTCTCCTCTTCTCTCTCTCAAGCATAAGACTCAAAATGAAAGGTGACATTTGAACATTTAGACCATAATTTGAAAACAATTTTCTTCCTTCAAACAAACTGGAGCAACAAGGGGGCGGTCTTGCTAAGAGAGGATTCAGCAGCTCTTCTGAACATCTGAGATAACTGGTGAACTTGTTTATCTGAAGGCAGTCTGCTCCTCATTTCTGTCTACCTGGTAATTTACAGACTTCTACAAGCTTTGAAACAGTAGACTCTTAGAAATTAAATGTAAAGTTTATATGGAAGGTATATGGTTGCTGGCCTTACTAGTGGAAATGTACAGAACAAAATTTGTGCATTTCAACACTACATACATTTGTTGTGTGTGTGCTGTTGTTGCGCCTGAGCCCCAGCTTTTCAAAGTGAAAAGCAAGTGGAGAAAAACCAGAAGGACAATCTCACATTTCAAATTCACAAAATTGAACTTCTATTGTCTTCCAAAGAGGGGGGACGATCCCTGAAACTCTTGGGGGACAGCTCTTCCTTGGAGCTGTTATTTTTAAAAAATACCAAACCTGTAATCACACATCTCCTAAAAGCTCTTAAACAACACTCAGCAGCAAATACAGGAATCCATGTGCATTTTTCAAGCAAGCATGCCATCTCAACTCATCTAAACAGCTTACCTTTTCATGTTTGTGTTTCTCTTTTTCTTTCTCTTTCTTTTCTCTTTCTTTCCTCTCCTTTTCCTTCTCCTTCTTTTCCTTTTCTTTGTCCTTCTCCCTTTCTTTCTTTTTCTTCTTCTCTTTTTTGTCTTTCTTCTTCTCTTTTGGTTTCTCTTTGTCCTCAAACAGTTTTTCAGGAAGCATTGGAGACAAGGAAGGTAACATGCTGGGGAGCCTCATGGCAGTTGGTGTGCTGAACAAGGGCAAAGACATTTCTTTGGGAGGTAACACAAGAGGTGCTGATGGAGTCTTTATCTTATCTTCCTTACCCTTATCTTTAAGTTTCTCTTTGTCTTTCTTATCCTTGTCTTTTTTACCTTTCTCTTTCTCTTTCTTTTTATCTTTATGTTTTTCTCTCTCTTTTTTGGTATTGCCATCTTTCAACTTTACTTTTGTGTCAGTATCCTCAAAGTCCTTTAGCTTGAATTTGTAGGGATCAAGATCATCATCTTTGAGTAGTTCCTTCCACTGAAATTTCGCTTCCTTGTTTCCTTCCTTGTCTTTATCCTTCTCCTTGTTCTTTTCCTTCTCCTTATTTTTCTCCTTGTTTTTCTCTTTATCTTTTTCCTTTTGTTTTTCTTTCTTCTTCATTTTTGTCTTCAGCTCCTTTTTCAATTTCTTTTTCACTTCTACCGATGAAGCCAACTTGGTTTTCTCCTCATAGACCTTGAGAAGAGGTTCTGGAGTTGGCGGTGAAGCAGAAGGAGAGGAGAAATAAGGGAAGTTGGTAGGTGGATTAGAAGGTGTCCCCATGTTTGCCTTTCGAATGACCTCATCAATCGAGTCATCCATTGTCCATGAAATGTCTGAACTTGAAGTCCCACCTGAGGGAGGTATTGGAGTTGCTCCTGCCTTATTTGCATTATTGGCAGAAACAGAAGGTTTAGGAGTCGTAGTCTCTGAAATAGAAAGTCTTTTAGGACTGGTAAAAATTTCCCCTTCTGATTCGGAACCAGAGGAAAATTCAAAGGGGTCCGGTTCTCGTTCTGCACATGCACGAGCAATCACAGCATCGATTGAATCATCAATGGTCTTGTCCATTACTGGTACTTTCTTAGTCTGGTTTTCAATATTTGGCTTGGTGGCAGGCTCAGGTGGCGTCTGTCCTTGTTTTACTTGAATGTTTTCCTTTCCTATCTTGTCACTTAATGCAGCCAGAGGGGTTCTACTTGGCGTTTCAGGCTTCACAGGTGGTTGGGGAACATGAGCAGGAACCTTTGGACTTTTAGGACTTTTTGGGCTCTTGGCGCGACCTGGTGACTTTTTTTCTTTGGATCCAGTTTTTGGTGAACGTATGGGACTTCCAGTTACCACTGGCGAGGGCATAGTTTTAGGTGATTTTGTCTTCTGTCCTGGAGAACTTGTTTTGGACTTTGTTTTGGGTACAAACGGCTTTGCCTCTAAAGTTTTGGGGGTTGGCACTTGCGATTTTGCAATGGGAGCCAACATTGGTGGTTCTGGTGAAGGAGGGGCTAAGTCTGTACTGTCCTGAACATGAACTGGAGAAAGCATTGGTGGTACTTTTTGAGTATTTATTGAGCTAAGAGGCTCACGTGGTTCCAAAGCTCCGTCCAAGGTGTCCCCTTTGGAAACAGATAGTTTTGGCCGTTTCACAGGTGGAAATTCCTCAGCCTCAGGACTTTCTAACGGTCTCTTGCTCAAGTAGTTCTCATCATTAATTGCCTCATCCTCTTCCATATCTCCCTCTTCTTCCAGTGGCACCTGCATGGCCTCTGCAGATGTACCTCCATCGGTAGGCACCTGTTCCTCTTCCTCTTCTGTAACAAAGAACATTTAAAAAAAGCATTAGGATAATTAAAAACGTGTTTTACAGAAACAAACAAGCATCAGAGCAAATGTTGACATGCATCTCAGCCCATAAGAGACAACTGGCCACCTAATAGCTTCTTACTGGTCTATTTGGAAGGAAAGTGTGGCATCTCCTCTGTCGTGCATTGGCCACCATCACAGCTGGCAGGTGCCCTCATTTCAGTGTAACGTCAAACCCATGAGCAAAGGATATGAGGGTAGAGCTCACAATGATGGTAGACCCTGGGGAGCAGGTCCAAAGCATCAGTTCTACCTAAAAATGTCCTGATTATTTCTTCCTGCAGTATTTGGGATTACAGTAACACAAACCTGCTTCATTCATTTTAAGTGAAGGGAGAGAGGTTGAAGCATTTTTTGCTGTAACAAAGTGGACTGTGAAGCATGCATCAAAGTAAAGTTCACTGGAATTAGCTGTCTTGCGTATATATCACACAATTTTGACTGCAGATTAATGACTAGGAAAATGTCTTCCTAAACCTGGCTTGTTTTTCCTGAAGCAGCACAGTCTGAAGGTTAAAGCAGAGGACTAAGCCCTATTCAACCTGCCAGGTTCTGTCTCTGATACCATCTTAAGAGCTTGCTGCATACGGACGTTATCTGTTATGAGTATATAGGAACACCCCAGCATTGCGTGTGTGTGTGTTGGTTTGGATCAGGAGCACGCCTTTTGAAATCCATCTCCCCATCATCCCCGCTTACTGTTGTTTTATTTGCACCATGGAGCAATCCTGGAGTGCATATGCTGGCTTCCTGCTATAGTGGAATCAAAATGAAAGATTATGTTGCCAGAGGAATACACCTAACATGCTCCAGTTGCAAGTGGGCATTCAGGCTATGAGACCAAAAAAACAGCTTCTGAAAATAAGATAAACCTGAAACATGCACAGTGTGGACATCAGGCACCAACTGTTTCAAGCCAGCGTGGACACTACCTGCGTGATTGGTCTGGTTTTTTTGTTTAATAGCAATTATTTTTTTTCCTACATATAACACCATCTTCAGTCCTACACACGTGACATTATGGTGCAGAGAAAGGAGAAAATTCACTTGAGATCTCCCAGCAAATCCACGGCAGGTTTGAGAAGAGAACCTCTGATCTCCCCAACCACAGCCAAGCACTTTATCCTCTTGGATACACTTCCTCACTTTCAAAATGGAATTATCCAAGCAGGAAAAAGGATTCTTAGTCTGGAATAAGAACGAGCACACTGGCGTTAACTTGACATATTTATATTTGCTGTAATTACGTCATGACACCGATGCCAGTTAACATTTCTGCGTAGACAACCTCACTTCGCTTTACCCCATGCTTCTGTTTACCCACCTGCAAAAACGCATGACATTTTGTCTAGCAGGGTTTCTGTGGAAAGATATCAAATGCCCTAAGATTCTCACATGAAATACATAGTAAAAACATTTATTATGACAGCAGATAAACCCCCACCTCTTAATGAGCAGGTGGTTTTAATGAAGCAAACACCGAGAAACTTACAATGTTACACTAACATCATTTAAAGCTTTGTAAGACAGCATCTTTCTGAAATACCTCTTTTCGAGGCATTTATTTTCAGGTTTTCTGTGCTGCTGTTTCTCTACTGTAATGTGTCAATGCTCTGATTTAGGAGAGTTGAGTCAAGAGCCCTGGGCTGCAGCACAAATCTTGCCAGCATCACAAATTAAGTAAAATGAGCTAGCAACTCTGGCTTTTGCCAGGGCCCAGAGGATTTACAGCAGCCAGCCCAGAGAGGAGACTTTGCCTGAGGATAAAGTCTTAGCCTTCCGTGAAAAACAGAAACGTTAGGGAGTTAGGTTTTGCCTGGCTGGGCACTGACATTAAATTTTTTAAACTGCGAAGTTAGAGTATAACTGAGAAATCACTGTGGACCGAGCCTGCACCTGCTATGGGGGAAAAATCTGCTTCCAGATCATGGAAGTAATTGCAATCTCTGTTTAAGCTGTTGCAGAAATCAGCTGCCTTCATCTGCTCAAAACTGTTTTGGAGATGAAGAAATAGCATTCATCAGATGTCATACACCACCAGTTGCTACCGAGCAATCCCCTCCCAACCCCATTCAACCTAGTTCGCCACTGAGAGTTTGTTTTCATTTAAAATTTTAAAGAGCGATAAAATTTAAAACAAACACCATACTTCAAAATCGGGATTTAGAGAAGTCTTCTGCCTCAGCTACAAGATGAAAAATGTAGCCAAATTCAAACATTAGGAAAGACAGGGTTTGATCATGCAGGCTTTAGAGAAAGCAACATAAACTATTTTAATATAAAAAACACAGTGATAAAAAGAGTCAATAAAGTGGAAGAGAAACTACTGCAACGAACAGTAAAAAAAATACATTTACTAGAAAAATCAGAACATTTATTTGCTAACTATTTCTGCCTGGTATCCGCTTAAACAGCCACTCTGTTATACCGTATCTCAAGGAAGTGCATTGCAATATTTCATATTTTTCTAACTCCCTCCCATCCCAAGGTGCTTCTCATGTTTTACCTACTTAGGATTGCAGAAAACCAGCAGCTGCTGGATCAAAGGCGAAAAAACAATTTCAGAGGAGGTTTGGAGAACAGGGACCGGAGTTTTGTACAATAAAAAAAGAGCAATGCTTATTTTTTTTTTAATAAGGCCAAGTAAAGTTTGCACCGGGCCCACGAAGTTTCTGTGATCTTGTGTGGAGATGCCAGGGAAGGGCAGAAGAGGTTAAAGTGCAGTTTGTAGAGGTGAGACTAGAAATTGGGGTGTCTTGGCTCCAGCTTTCATGCACATTCCTGCAAGCCACAAAGACAATTTAGTAAGGAAGCAGAAGCATTACCATCCCTTTTATATGGACTTGGATTCCCCAAAACATCTGGAAAAAATTGCCTGGGTCAGTCCTGAACAATCCAGGGACTAAGGAAGTTCACGAGCACTTAACTACTGACACACATTCACCACTTTTCAGACATGCTCAGATGACAATCTGGAATCCTATCGTGGTCAAATGAAACCCAAATTTCTCTTGGAACAAGGCCACGGTCTGATCCTCAGCGAGGACTGGTTTTCTGCCAGGCAGCGGCTTTCAAACCTGAGCCACCGCAGCTGTGACCGTGGCAGAAAACAATAAAGCACTTTTTTGGGGGGGGTTTAATTAGAGAAAGTGAAATCTCTGTCTTACGTTCAAGAGCCACAGGCTCTTTTTCCTCCAGAAGGATTCATACAGGAGCAGCAACCAAATACGAGAAAACATCAGCTTTTAAGCGTAATCTGCTTGACTTGGCGATGAGCATTTAAAACCACGCAGCCACTTTTTCACCTTCGTCCATCTCATTCGCTACCCGGCACTTCTCGACGCGCAATCCTTTGTGCAGAGGATTGCTTTTTAACTCTCTTTACTGCCATCTCTCCCTATCTCCGGCCACCTTATTAATGATCCGACTCTTGAGTTAGCATCTATAGGTCAAATGGATATCACCTCGGCCATCTGCCCTAATAACTCTCTCCCGTAATGAAAGGAGACTAGAGCTGTTTGGGAGGTTTCTCAAGATAACAGATACATTTTTTTTTTTCTGGTTGTTGTTAGAGAAGTCAGTGCTGGATCAATATTAATGCTCGCATTACTAAAGCTATACAGAGCAATTGTTTATTATGTCAGCTGGGCCCATGTGCAGAGCCCGGGTTCAGAGGATGCACAGGTTGCAGGAGGGATGGGTTCAGCCGTCGCAGCACAGCCCCGAAGGTGAACTTGTCCAACGCTGAAATAAAACAAGCTGACAGCTGTTGGCACGCTGCTTCTGAGAAAACTGTTTGTTAAGACAGCATTTGCTACTGGAGCATATTAGGGTGCGTAACATCGCCCGTGTCTATGTAACGAGGCAAGTTCTTCATTTTCATGAAAGGATGATTTTGAAGTGAAGGGAGGAAGGAATCCACTCCTCTCTTGACATGGGTCTGCAGCGCGATCTCAGGCAGGTCACACTACGTACTGTTGTCTTCCCATCTGACAAGCGAAGATAATTTCATCTCACAGAGGCGCTGTAAAAGCTGAATTTGATAAATACGAAGCTCCTCGGGATCTCTGGACAGAAAGCATTAGAATCCCAAGCCGCGGGGATCTGTCACCACTTCAAATGCTGGAAAATTTCTTAAGCTGAACAGTTCAGGCAAGAAACCAAAACTCCTGCACCTTTTTAACGAAAAACCACTAAAGAAGCACAAAATTTCTTTCTTTGTACATCATGTTCCTGTAGCACAGCAGGGACTCCAAAACCAAAGGCTTATTGAATATATACCTTCTTAATTTGGCCACGGCTCAATTTCAGGACAGCAACACTCAACACTTCAGTAATGAACTCCCAAGTTCACAATGATCGAGGAACTATTTGTCCCTAAAACTGACACAGGGGTACAAAGGAACAGAAATTCTGCCTTTATTGCAGAAAAAGAAGTGCAATCACCCATACCACACTATCACGCTCTCCTGGCTGCCTCATTAGAGGAGGCTGCACACATTGCTCTTTCAACAACAGGTCAGATGAAAGTGAAGGCAGGAAAAAATAGATGCAAAACTCTTCTGATTGAAGAGAAACGCACCTATGTGTAGACATTCTTCAAGCATGAAAACCTATGACACACATATATATA